AAAGCTCTCGATTTGTAAGATACGATTCAAACCAACGAGTGAGTTCATGAGAAACACCAAGCTTCTCAAGTTTGGTAATTAGAACGGTCGAAAGCAGCCTTGAGATCCGTGTATACGACGTCCACCTGTGCCCCTGCCTCCATATTCCGTAGGCATAGGGAAATGAAAGGAGTGAGGTTTGTTGAGACCGAACGTTTGGGGTGGAAACCATGTTGATCAGGAGAATAATGTAGTTTCTACAGCTGGCAAATAAAGCGTCGTTGATGATTATCTCGAATCAGTGCGCAAAACAGTCAGGTTCATTGAGCCATTTTGATATGAATATGAACTGCCATTTGCCTCATCGTTCACTGCCTCGTGAGAGTCTGAATGATTGAGAGGTAAACGAGTCACTGACAGCCGATCACTCAGTCAGTAGCTCAGTCAACACGTTTATTCTGCCGTGATGGTACCCAATATTTGTTATGAATGACTGAGCGCTAGGCGAGTAAGAGAGGTGCCACAGTCGGAAGAAGTGTTAGTTTGTTTACTAAAATGAACCATGCCCATTTAGTTATGGCAAGTTTGCTATAAGAAATGCTCCTCGTGTTTATTAGCGAAATTCACATCAAAGATTGATTAATTGCGTAGGAAATCAGTTTGGCACGGCATTTAAGACCAGCATACACCTTCCGGTCGTACGAAACAGGTCAAAAACTGTCCAAATTTGCAGATAAAAAATTTTGTTTTGAATTTCTGTATGGCAAAATAGTGAACTTTTCGTGAACATTAACGGCAAAGAACTCACCAACACTGGGAGACCGTGAGTTCCTGCCCACCTGTCATCTCCCATCTCGGACTGAGCGTACATTTTCTATGGAAAAATGACTCAATTACATGCTGTGTGAGCGAAGGCAAGCGGTGTGCGTCGCCTGCTCGTGAGTGACTGAATGTTTTTGTTGGCTCTTTCATTGCCTCGTCCTTTACCGTTTGGTATAAACGGTCTGCCCAGAGCAATGGATTGAATCAAGATGGGAAATGACAGGTGGGCAGGAACTCACGGTCTCCCGGTGTTGGTGAGTTCTTTGCCGTTAATGTTCACGAAAAATTCACTATTTTGCCATACAGAAATTCAAAACAAAAAAAATTATCTGCGGATTTGGACAGTTTTTGACCTGTTTCATGCGACCGGAAGGTGTATGGTGGTCACAAATGCCGTGCCAAACTGATTTCATATGCAATTAATCAATCTTTGATGTGAATTTCGCTAATAAACACGAGGAGCATTTCTTATAGCAAACTTGCCATAACAAAATGAGCATGGTTCATTTTGGTAAACAAACTAACACTTCTTCCGACTGTGTCACCTCTCTTACTCGCCTAGGGATTGAATAGTGCAGTGCTTTCACACTCAGCCTAGGCAGTCAATAATGTTACGCTCTGTCTCGAATACTTTCGAGCAGACACAAAGTGAAGTAATTCCTCGGTAATTCTCCACATTTTGTTTGTCGCCTTTCTTGAAAATCGGGAACATGAACGAAGATTTCCAACGAGAGGGAAATACACCTTGTTGTAACGAAATATTGAACAGCTTTGAAAGCGGAGAGGAAAGCTCTGTTGAGCATCTTTTGAGCATGGACGATGGAATGCCGTCAGGCCTAACAGCGTTCGAGAATTTCAGCTTCTGGATGGCAGAGTCAGAGAAGCCGGCGCCGGCGGTGTAGTGGTAAGCGTGACTGGTTTCTAACACCCCGATCTGGGTTCAATCCCAGCCGAGGTCGGTGGGATTTTTCTGAGGCATAAAAATCTCTGGTCACGTCTTCCTTCGGAAGGGAAGTAAAGCCGTTGGTCCCGGCCCATGTGTGTTGTGAATGGGTGCGATATCCTACACATTCCTGCACATTCGGTTGCCGTCAATTGGATGGCAATCGATGTCCGTCGGTGATTGGCACTAGATTGCGGAACAGAGACCGACGTTAAATAAAGGAAAAAATAAGATGGATGGCAGAGTCGACGAGGTCCAATGTGACCATGAAAATATCAAAGCTGAACGCGTCACTGGGAGTATCTCTGATCTCTTCAGCAACTTGGCTTAACGATGCCGTTGAATCGTTGAAAACACTCTTGAAATGCTCAGCCAGGAGGTTAGATTTCTCTAAAGAAGTGTTGGCTCTTTTATCGCTTAGATGAATCTCAACCGGTAGCCCATCCTCTTTCCTTTTTGTCTTCACAAACGTCCAGAATAGCTTAGGATTACGCCGGAGATTGGTCTGCATACGTCTTGAGTACTTCTTGTATAGAAAACGGTTGTACATTCGGTAGCAATTACTTGCTAACGAAAATAATCGCTTGGTGAATGGATTACGGGACTGGCTGTATTTTCGAAGAGCCTTCGATCTCACACGCTTCAAGTGTTGTAATCGAGCATTGGATCATGCAGGTTTTGGAGCAGGTCTCCTCAGAGTCACTCAATTCATTATTAATCGGCTAACAACTTCGTCGAAATAGTTAACGGCTTCATCAATGGACGAACACAAGTCAAGCGACTGCCAATCTACCTGGGCCAGTGAGTGATTCAATGCGACGTAGTCAGTTCTACGAAAGTCCAGGCTTTGTACATCAACGATGTTTTCATAGAGAACAGGAACTGATCGATTGATGAATGCTTCCAACGCTGGATGATCGGCGTCTAGATGTATCAGAGGCTCGGATGCCTCAGCGACACTGCACTCTAGTGCGGCGGCTTCGTTCACCAACACAAGATCAAGCAGCCGAGAGTTTCTGTTTGGTACAGAATTAATTTGCATTAAACCATGCAGGCTAAAACCATCCAAAAGAGCACAGCAGGAAGCAGGCATATACGACCAAAGAATGTCAATGGTTGGATGATCATTCGCGGAAATATTCCAAACAAGCCCAGACTGGTTATAGTAGATCGTTGTGATGTAATCGGGACAATACAGCACCAATGGAACTGATATGGTTCTCAACGCAGCTCAAATTAGATTTACGGTCAGGAGGAAGGTACATAACGCCGATGCTTATCATATTGTGTGACGTCGTAATAATCTTCACCCATAACTGCTCAAGAGAAGTACTAATCGGAGCAGGATCGAGGCAACAGTTCAGTCGTTTGGAAACCGCAATCAAGACGCCACCACCGCGTGATTTGGCACTGTTCATCCGGTTACGGTCATTACGAAAAACTGAGAACCTACTGCTAAATAATTGTGCTGAGTGAATTCGATCATCTAGCCAGGTCTCAGTAAGAACTATTGCATCATAGTTGGACTCAACAGCAGTCAAGAATAAGTTGTCAATTTTAGTTCGCAAGCCACGAACATTTTGATAATACACCACAAGTCCATCGGATAACATAGGTTGGCAATCGGAATGGCAAGGTTCAGTCGGTGGTGAAGAAGACGTTGCGCTGAAACGTGGAGGCTGATCAGGCGAGAATTGGTTTCAATTAACGCATACACACTTAATCTAGCTCGGTAAAATCTCCAACAGCCGATTACCTCGGCATTTACTTTTGCTGATATCTCTGCAAAATATCTTTTTGTTAGCTGATATCTCAGCAAAATCTAATTTGTTAGCTGAGTCTCGGCAATTATTTTACTGAATCTCAGCAAAATAAATTGCAGAACTGCTTGGCTGTTGGAATCTCGGCGAAAAAATTTAAGTGTGTACTTGCCTGAAATCGAAGGTTGGGAGACCCCTTCACCGTTCTCAACCACAGGGCCAGAACGACTACGATTATATTGTTTTGGTATTGCATTATCATAATTTGGTATTGGAATGGTATTGTGGGAAATTTTGTTTTGTGGTATTATTTTTTGGTATTTTACCTCTTATGCAGGAACCCGAGCAGGAACGAATATCTCGATACTTTAAATTGTTATAGATGGCTCTGACATAAGAGGTAAAATACCAAAAAATAATACCAAAAAAATGTTCCCACGATACCATTCCAATACCAAATTATGATGATGCAATACCAAAACAATACCACACAGGTATTATTTTGGTATCCAAATATCAATTTTTGTTATTTACAAAGTATTTTGTATGCATTTTTTTGGTATTATTCTTTGGTATTTTACTTCTTATGTCATGCTGATCAACACCAAATTTTGGTATCGGATCTGAAATAGGTATTCATTACTTATTTTATCCTGCTCGGGAAGGGCTCACGTTCACGTCTAGATTAACATTCTAGACTGTTGCTAGCTTTTGCTTTAACCTAGACCTATCGACTATCTTGAGGCCCGTCACCATGAGCTCCTGGGTCTGCCTCTGCTGCGATGTAATCTTGGAATCCAGCAAATCCGTAATTCAATCGCTTGCATGCAGATTTAGATTCCACCCCTTCGTAGAGTGTGGCTGACCAACATCTACTTACGTTTCCGAAAATCTGTTGATATCGGCTTCTGATGACATCGGCCATGGAGCTCAGCGTTCATGATCCAATTGTGAGGCCTTGAGCAGGAATTATGTACCACAGGCATCTTCGGTTAACGAAGACCTTGGTGCTATTAAATATTATCCACTGATACGCTGCATTAGGTCCTAAATAACATTAACAGATTCTCTTCTTCATCTTTCTCTTTGCATCCTCATGGCCATGTTAAGACATTCCTAGCTAATCAAGCTATTATCTAGCATTTTAAACAACAGACACGATAAGAAACGGTGCAGTACCCAAATTATTAACGAAAGAGAACGAAAATCGATGAAGAGAATTTATAAATGTTACTTAGGATCTAATGCATTGTTCAGCTTGCTATTTCAAGTAGGAATTGAAAATCCGGATCACGCTGTGTTGACTAATCTGATTTGAGCTCAAGATATCCCTTCAGGCCTAGGCTACACTAGCCTTCTTGATTCGCGTACCTATGTTGTTCGTAATCCTGCCGTCGGACGGTATGTGTCCGCTGAAAGTAATCTTCTATTTAATATATGTATTCCAGTAAATGGGTAACTTACAAACTGATTTTTTTTTAATTTCAGGCATCATATGAGGCAAAGAGCTCACCACCAATCAAAAACTGGCGGTAATTATAGTTTATTTTAAATTTATCTCCATCAAATGCTCATTTTTCTTATTTGATTGTTTTGCCCCAAAAGTATCTTTCGAAAAAACAAATCTAATTTATTTCCCCATCACACTGCTGCGCTCTGAATTCTGTACAGTTCTACCCTTGAAAGTTGTTTAATTCAATTCGTAAACCAGCACAAACGGATTCCCATTTACTCCGCAGCGAACGGCTGTTTCACTACTACTCAGCTCCACTTGAATCTACCACTCAACAACGAGGTCACGTTCATTTCCAGGGAAAATCATGTTAGATTCACTCTCCTTTCGCTCGACACTGTGTCTGTATAGGTTTTCCCTAAGTGGGTAAAAATTTGACCGCCTCTACTTAGCGAACGCCAAACAACCGAAGTGCTCACCGACCGGAGTGTAGATGCCTGAATTATGTCTGAAATCCTGTTGTCGGGAGCATAAAACAACGTTTGTAAAATAGGCATGTAGGACAACAAAGCAGTCGAAAAAGTAACATCCGAGCTATGTATTTAATAAAATATTCATTGAATTAGGTACTTAATTACACAAACTGACTCTGTAAGTCAGACCCGTCAAAAGCATTATTTCGAAACGCTTTTACAACCGATCAATTTGGTATGCTTAATGTTGGCCTTCAACCTGAGTCTGTATAAAAGCTATTATGCAACACACTTTGTGTGCCTTTAAATAAGTTTCCAATCGATCGATCACTGTTGCTGGATGTCCTCATCATCGCACCACCAGTAACGAGCCAGCAAATCACGGACAACTCGAAAGGACCGTGTTTTCTTTCACTGACGCACCCACCGAACCGAGCCGAGGTTAATTTTGTTTCGCCGTTTTGTTTTTGCCTCCATCAATCCTTCAATATTTAATGATTATAGGCACGCCTCATTTTGTCAGAATAGGCAAATTTGAACCCAAGCGGAACTTATCATAATTTAATCAGACGGAATAATTAATGACTGACTGGTTGGTTGGTTATTTGGGTGGTAGCTCCCGGAGGTTGGAGATTTTTGGGAACCATGGAAGCGATTGTATAAGGGTGTAAACTTTTGGAAATTGCCACATCAAACTTGTTATCAAAAGATGGGTTGATGACGTTTTGGACTGATCGTGAAATTGAATCATTAATCAAAATAATTTTAATGAAACGATGTGGCTTATCTCATTGTAGTTTTTCCAGCTGACGGAAACAATTTCTCGGAAGGCAAGATTTTTGCATGCAAACTGTTAACTGTCAAAAGCACCTCGATTTTTCTGACTATTGATGCATTATTAAAGTTTTCCAATTTTTTTAAAAGCATGCCATATTGCGTTGAGCCATTCCATGGTGCATAATAAAGTGTTTGTTACAATTCGAATAAAATATCAAAAGTTAAAATCAAATGAAAGTATTGAGGTTAACTTAAGTCGACCTTATTTGTATTTTGTAATACTTGTTTATTTTCCATTCTTTATACATATATTATAAATTGCATGACTAGTAAATTATTTTTATTTCACACATTGAAAATCTCATTATAATAAATATAATTTTCATTTACAGAAAAAAGTTGTCCTGCAGATTCTGAAGGACCAGAAGGGGTATCACATAGCATATCATTGTTATTTACATTTTATTTCATTATAATATAATATGATCTTTGATTTTCAGTATTTGGATTACCCAAAGAATAAATTGAATATCATCACACATTTGGCCAATGTTTTTTAAATTGTTTCACCTTTGCAGAGTGTTGGTATTTCAAGAATTATTCATTGATATTTGTTTTTATAACTCTTGCATGCTCAATTAACCTCGATTATTTAGCAAATGGATTCTTTACTATAATTGTGGATTCATTAAATAGTTAAAGTTGAGTTCAATCATACCATGCAATTTAAAATTTCATATACCGTATGCGTGATTGATGAATCTACGTTACGGTCGACCAGCAGATCGAAATGATAAGAAAATGAAAATGACTTTTTGCTACCTGTCAAATCGTATGGAATATTTTTTAGTACATCATCAGTTTTGTGGTTTTGGATTTCAAACCTCGGTGTCGCATGCACTGGTGCAGTTTCGCGTAGATTCATCAATAATGTTTGCACCATTGTCAAAATTTAAAAAAATCTCAAAAAATTCGTTTTCGTGTTTTTTTTTATTTAAAGGGAGATGTTTCTCAGAGTCTTAAACTATGTTAATCATCGATTGAGTTTCCACTTGCTGCAATTACGGCCTCCACACGCTTCTGGACAGCACGGCAGGTTCTAATAATGTAGTCTGGATCAATTTCTCTCCAGGTACGGGTCAATGTTTGTCTGAGGCTTGCTGTACTCGGGTGACGTTCAGAACAGGCCTTGGCCTTCATGACGCGCCATATTGAGTAATCCAGCGGATTAAGATCGGGGCTGGATGGCGGCCACATATCCTTCGCCCAGAACGGAAGATGTTCCTGCAACCACTTCTGAGTGCGGTTCGAGGTGTGGCACGGAGCCCCATCTTGTTGAAATACAACATTTGGCTTCGGACCGTACTGTTCTTTGATCCACGGAAGAACATACTTACTTAAAACCCCGATGTAGACCTCCGTGTTGACTTTGTCGTCTCCTGGAATGAACACCGGGTCCATTTTTTTGCCTTCAGAAGCCACCAATCCAAACACCATAACACTAGCAGGATACTTGATCAGATACACGTTCTTGTGCTCGTCGGCCACGTCTTTCACTGGAAGAGAACTAACATACCGGTCGGTTCTGAAATTTGATACGGGATCGACGGTAAACTTGTAGCTCCCGGATGCGGTTGGTAATCATGTGAGTTTTTTTTCCGTGCCCTCGACTTCGCCCTGCAATCTTCCTTTATGATCTTCCGTGCCGTAAAGTCACTGATCCCGTGTTCCTTTGCCATTTTCCTTATTGAACGCACTGGATTCACCCGAATCTTTCTTTTGATAGCAGCGATAACCCTCGGAGCCCGAGCTGACCTCAGACGACATGTGGCCACCTTCGCGGATAGTTGTCCTTTCTTTTCTCGGTCTAAAACCCTTTTGACGGTCCACCGAGACACTCCCACGGCAAATGAAATGTCTTTTTGCGACATTTGCGCGTGTGACAAATCACGAATACGCTGCCACTTCGTCATGGTGCAACTGTCAAACTAAGTAAATAATTTTCTTTTATACACAGCCTACTACCAACAATCAATACGAAACTAACGATTTTAAATTGGCTCACTACTTGACTAGCCTATTGGTCCCAAGCAAACGATTAACGTACCCCATTCTAGTCGAAATTCTAGTACTACGCAATGTTTGTTTTGATTCGCTATGAAAGTTTGACAGATAAAATGAGGGGTTATTGGTTTTTCCTATGTTTTGAGGGGTGAATCGATTAGCTTGGGACCGAAGAGAGTACCAGAGCTGAGCCAAAAAGTTGAACACGTTTCTTCGGGACCTACTTGTCTTAGAGTTACCTCTATGCTACTACGGTATGAGCTATAGGTTATGTGCATGCAAAGAAAACCAAGGCATTGTATGCACAGGTGAAACGGGAACCTTATTTGTACGATGGTGCAAACATTATCACGCATACGGTATAGCTTGAGTTTAAATAAATTTATATTTTATAATTGTATATCGACCTGCGATGTGTCACATAAAGTCTACAAGGAGGCCAGATACTGTTGGTGCAGCTCCACTTGATTATTTGGGTGATATCATTCCTTTTTATTTATTTATACAGTAACCCCTCCCTATCGTTTACCGAAACGAAACCTGCTGCAAACCCTACCCTCTTATCCAAAATCCCAGTGATTCTTAGTGGCAGTACATAGGATTTCTCGGCTTCTATCAAAGCGTTCGGGCGCGGCCGGCGCTGGTATTGCCTAATTTAAGATCACCAGTTTTTACACATTGAGGATGATTGCTAGTCCCAAGCATCGCCTATTGGTTCTCTGTGTAATTACAGCTGATCTGGCAATAACAGAGTAGCAGCCGTGGGCGGTTAATCATGCTCATGCTTATTAACTCTTAACTTAGTGTTCTAGATGCTTCACGTAGACTTCACGTAGAAGTAATACTAAAACATATAGTCAAAGTACATATTATTGTTAAGTGGGTTATTATTTGGAATGTATAATTCATTGCTAAGAATTATATATTTTTGCTATAGCACAATCCCGAAGTTGGTTAGTACGGACTTGCAAAACATTTAAATTATGGATGTGAAGCGTATCGATGTTTATCTCATCAGACAACTTGAATTCATTTCAGATAAGGAGTAAATGTTTTCGTCCTTTTAGCAAGTTTTTGTTTATGATCTTCCCAATTTACGAAACACTAAATACAAGGCCTTGGTCTACTATTAGGGTTGTTTTTCCGGTAGTACCGGTAATCCCAGCCAATTTTCCGGTACTGGCATGTGAAAATACCGGTAATTTCGGTACTGGTCATCAATAAAACTCGCATAGTAATATTAATTTTGGAAAATCGAGTTATTGTTGTTTATTAACTTATTTGATAAGGCTCAAACGAATTAACTTTACAGATCCGTGGATTATTAGTCACTATACAATACATCTTAAAAATATAGTCAAAAGGTACAACACAATAAACACTTTATCTTCCGGTATCCAAAAAGCCTCCTCCATCAGAACTGGAGCTTCCAGTGGATTAATTGAATGGCAGTTACGCCAACGAGGGTCAGAGCGCTTCCATTGCAGCAATGGACGCAAAACGTGGTCAGCACTCACACACTCATCACTAAACGGTTGCTTTTTAAAGTCGACGACGCATCGACCGAAAGAACCGCCGATGAAGAACGATGAGGAGGACCACACAATGCACAATGGTTGCTGACGAGAAAACAGACGATCGCGTGGCACACATCGAGAGTGGCCTGCTTTTGTCGACAGTCGAGTGAACACTGAAACTCGAGATATAGTTCATGCCTTTTTAAAGCATAACTCCCATATGATTGAATTTTGTTATTTCACATTTT